TTATTCAAAACAAGTTTTCTAATTTGATAAAATAGGAGAGTAAGAAAATAACATGTAATGAAGACGAGGATGTAAGTCTTTTTAAATTGGTACAAATAAAACATTTAATATCAAGAATCATATTAAAAATTTGATAAATGGCTTGATTTTCTAAAAGAATGAAAAAATCTGCAAACTCTTAAAAATATTAAGTTGCCAAAATCACATTATAAAGTTAACTAAAGCAGTTCCATATTTAGGAGATTGATAATATTACCAATTTGAAAAAGTAATTTTGAATTGATTAACTTTTTGTCTCATAATTTTAATGTCAATAAATTTATTTATTCACTGTAAATTAATTGTTTATAGATTGGAATCCTCTAAGAATGTAAGTTAATTGTTTTGAGGTTATTAAGCATAGGTCTAACAAAAAACCAAAAAAGAGTTTTTTTAGACCATTTAATATATTAACTAAGGGATGGAGGAAATCTAATTTGCGAAGCCATAGAAGAATTAGCAGATTATGAAGAAGTTAATTCGTCAGTATTTGATGAAGAAAGAGAAAAACCACCAGAAATAAGTAAAAAATTATAAGATAATGCTATTATTAATTGCATAATTACATAGTTTATGTAGATATTTCAAATTCAACATTATTATGATTATTATGGTATATTTATAAAATAATCTTTAATACATATATATTATAAATTAACTTTTCTTTAATAATTTTCTTAACTTTATTAATGAACTAACTTAACTAAAATTATGACAACTCTAAAATAATCTAATGACTTTAATCATCGATAGAGATAATCATATTGAAATATTCTAGGTTGGATTCTTAATCTTAAGCTGAATAATAATATATGAATCTTCTTAGGAATTATCTTAATTTTAATAAATTAATTGTCACCCTCTCATCTTTTTAAGATGAAATAGATTTTATGTTCTGTATCTCAACAAAATTAATTTTTTTCTAAGATATTTGGTTATTCACTTAGTTGTTTTAGAGTGGCAAAATCCTAATCATGATGCTTTGAATTTATATAAAAACTAAGGAAATAAAGATTAGACATTTTTAGATTATAAAATAGCTATTGAGTTGGATACATAATTTGCTTTTGCATACATGAGCAGAGGTTCTCAGGTTATTTAAAGAAATAGGAAATTTTTTAGATCAAATAGAATATTAATAGGAGGCACTTTTAGATTTTAACAAGGCTATTGAATTAGACCCTTATGATGATTGTATTTATAATAACAGTTGTGTATTAAATTATTAAGTTAAATAGGACTTCTATTTACTAAAATTGGAAATATTAATTAGGCACTTATAGACTTTAACAAGGCAATTGAATTAGATCCTAATTTTTCTGATTTTTATTTGGATAGAGGCAATCAAAGTATTATTTTTTATAAGTAGATAATGAACAATAGGCCCTTGTAGATTATGATAAAGCGATGGAATGAGATTTTAATAAATCTAAAGCATATAATAATAGAAGTGTTAAAATTAGTATAATGAAATAGGCCTTTTATAATTTAAAATCGGAAACACAGACATTGCACTTATAAATTTTAACAAATCAATTGAATTAAATTCTAATGATGATTATACTTATAATAACAGAGGTAATAGAGTGTTAGAATATATAGGTATGCTCTATTAAAATATTGGAAAAATAATGGAGGCTCTTGAAGATTATAACAAAGCAATTGAATTAGATCCTAATATTGCTTAAATTTACAGTTCAAGATTTAATTAGGTTTTAGGTTATTATAGCATTATTGCATTTAAGTTTAGAAAATAAAGATTAAGCCATAATAGATCATAACAAAGCTATTAATTAGATCCTAAAGATGCTATAAATTATTTTAACAGATGTAATCAAGTTGTTGAACTAAATAGGATTGTTTTATAGATTATGAGGAATTTGATTTAGTATTTAAAGATTATACTAAAGCGATTGAATTGAACTCAAATGATGCTAAAGCTTATAACAACAAAGTTAATTTTAATTATAATTAAAAAATAGAAATTTGTATAAAGTAAATGGCTAATATGACAAGGCCTTTTAAGATTGTATTTAAGCACTTAAATTAGAATTAGACAATCCACTTATAATGGTAAATTTAGCTGATCTTTATTATTTTAGGTCATATTATAATCAATCATTGAATTATTATACACAAGCACTTGAATAATTAGACTAAATCACTCAGTAGAAGAGTAAAAAGTGGAATTTTTCAGAGGAGAATATATAATTAATTAAAAAAAAGTAACTTTGTTAAAAGAAATTTAAGATGAAATAATTTTTTTAAGATAAAATATTTACAAAATTACAAACTCAATTTGAATAAAAGAACCCAACTTTTAATGATGTGAACGATAAATTAATTATATTAGAAAAAAAAATTAACAGTTTAATTAATGATATAGACAGATTTAAAATAGCCATAAGAAAAAGAAGAAGAGTTAGAATAATTGTAATTGACTAAAGAAGATCTGAAATAGATTAAATAATAATATAATTAATTCTATTATAAGAAATTGTAAGTTAATAAAATAAAAGAATAAGTAATTTAGAAGATGACAATAAATATATGAAAGAATAGGATAGCTTTCAAATATAAGAATCTATGAAATTTCTTTAAAAGCAGAAAATAAAACTTAATTTATTTATTATAAGCATTGTTTTGGAATTTATATTTTTACTTGTATGTAATGCTGCAAATTTCTTCAGAACTATATTAAATGAATAGAGATGCTATGATAGAAAGCACTTCTGAAAAAGTACTAGATATAGTACAAAAGGTTATAACGTTGAATTAAAGGTAAATAATAAAATTAAGCTTAATAGCAACATTAGGGAAATAAAATTTAAAAAGGTAAAATCGTATCAAATCCTAGTTCATTATGTTCACTTAATTGTTTAAATTAATGATTCAAAGTTAAAAATAAAATGAAAATTAATTAATATAAATCAAACTTCATTTAAATTTTTTATTTTGTCTATTTTCTATGATTCTAAATCAATAATTATACTTTTAAAAAGATTATAAAATTGATTATGTATAAAAGAACTGATAAATAAAATACAACATAATTAACAGATTTATTTTTGAAATCAAATATTGAGTTTTCAAAATTTATTTTCAATCAATTTTGATTTAAAGTGAATATGTTAAAAAGTTAATGATAAAGTAGTTTTTGCTTGATTTTTTAATTTCAATTGATGGGGAGCTAAAAAACAATATGATTCTAAAAATAATTGTAGTTTCAAAATACATTGACAAAAATTAAGAGTAGAATGAAAAATATAAAATTAGAGTATATTTCGAGATTAATTTATAAAAACTAAGGAAATATTTAATTAATCAATTAAGAATAAGTAGTTGATTAGTAATATCGAATAATCTCTAAAAGAATTAATCATATGGAAAAGATCTATAATCCTTTTTGATTTATTAATCCAAATAATTATGATTTCCACTTTGTTCCACTACTTTTTTTGAATTATAAGAATATCTAAGTTTTTCAGATTAAGTATTTTTAAGTATGATGGAATAGAAAATTAGTTATATATAGTAAATGAAGCAGGATTCCAATTTGAAAGATAGCCAATTGATTTCAGCAATCGATTGATAATACCAATTATTCATTATCCCCAAGATGTATTTTAATATATCATCATATAATTTTAATCCATCCTATGAGTTAAAAATAACAAAATATAAATTCATAGCTTTTAAATTTCAAATATTTATATGTTATTTAATAGATCATAAATAAAACAAAATTATGATATTTTTGATTCTATCATCGATTATAAATTTAGGTTGGATGAAGAATTTGATTTGGCTAAATTTTCAAATTTAAGCTTACTTTTATCATTTTCCCATATTTAATTAATTAATCATGTAAACTACATCTTCTCCAATTCATGAAAGGTTGTAATACTATATCTATAAACAATTTAATTTATATAATTAGGTAGGATACTACGAAAATATTAGAAAATTAACACTTAAATCTATTTTTTAATCCCAAATATTCCTCTGATTAAATGGGCCATTGTAAATTTAGAATATGATTAATATAAATTAAATATGTAAATTAAATATTAATTCATCTAAAATTATTTTTATATATTTTTAATCGTCTCAAAACAACCAATTTAATAAAAACTACGTTCCTTACAAAAGAAAGATTTAAAAAGTATTTTATTTAATAATTAAGAATAGTTAAGAAAATAAATACTCATTTACTGCTATAGATCTTTATAACATTTTCAAATATATTAATATAATCAATACATCTTAAAGTTTGGTTTAATCAGTAAATTTAGATTAAAACGAATTGAATTTGTTTACATTTTATCTCTAATTTATTCCTCTTATCGGAATTAATATTACATCAAAACGAAATCAATTAGCCTATTTGATAATTACACTTTAATCTATTTGATATAATTATGCAAGCTAAATTGAATAATAGATTACAGAAATAATAAGAAGATAAAACGGATATTAATTAATTTATATATTTTCGAAAGCAGTTAATTTTATAGAATCAATTTTTCAATTCTAAAAAAGTTTTCTATAATTTGAAATGCAGAAGCATTCATATTAACATATTCTACTAATTAATTAGTTGCTATTAATGAAGAACAACTGGTGGATGCTTAACATCATGAACTACCATTCCAATAGCAAGTACTTAATGAAGCACAAGCAACTCTATTAAATGAAATAAAAAAAAATAAAAAACACTTTGATTGAATTATGTAAATTACAGATACGAAAAGAAAATCGATTTTTTTTTAGGAAAACTTGAGGCAGGTAATATATCATCCGACAAG